GCAATGTTTCACTTTGATTAGTTCCTTCAAGACGAAAATGAGCTTCACGAGGTTCGATTCTGACAAAAAAACAATTTGAAAACAGTGTTACAACAAAACTAGCTAAAACCAGAAACAAATAAGAAAATGTAAAAAAACAATAGAACAAAATTTAGGAGAAAAATGTCGAACTTACTTAAGTGTCGTCTGACCGACACATGCGTCCAATATGGAATTCATGTAAGAATTGTCATAGGTGCCATATGACAATGACTGAGCATCCCAATCCATTGTGCCATAAACAGATGAATGTATGGAACCAATTTCTAAGCTCAATCCGTTCACCTTTAAAAGAAAAGTTGTACTCTACTTTACTATTTATTTATTTGTTCATTTATTTATATAATTGGAAAAAATTGAGTAATATATGACCAGTTTTAAACTTCTTCCTGAAAGTTTTCTGACTCTGACAAAAATAACCCAAAAAGAAATACTGGAAAAGATTATTACCACAAGTTGTCTAGCAGTCGTGCAGCACGACTGCGGCAATGACATCTTGTACATTTTAACAGTTTCCTTCCTTGGACTAATTTCGATATTGTCCTCGGTAAATTCATACAGTGGCAACGGTCCGGTTTCCTTACTCCCATCATTGACAGTAATTTTCATTCTTTCGAAAAAAACCGTTTTAGTAGAGTACGATGAAAGAGCGACCTAAATGAATGTTCGTAATAACTTACAAACGTTCAAATAGTGGCATGCTTTAAATACCAGTTAAAAGCTTTCGTAAATGCAGAAGCAAGGGTCATAAATCCTTAATGTAGAACCAAAAACTGTTAGAAAACAGATCACCAATCATATCAAACTAAACAAAAATTACCATAAGAAGAATCAATGAGTCGGCATGAACAGTTTCTATGGTATTGTTAAGAAAAGCAACTCGAGCACGGATGAACGCATCAATACGAGGCGCGTTTATCGAAAAAAATACACGCTCAGCAAATGTTGTCTTCCAAAGATACTGGCATGCTTCTACCTTCAAAGTTGGTAAAAATACTTTAAAATATTACAATTATCCGAACTGATCTGAATCCACTCATCTATTTCATATTCCAATTCGTAATTTTTATTAAAATTCATTAAAGAAATACGAATGAAGTTCAACATTTCATGATAGGACCACCTGTGATCTTTTGCAACGAGGATAACGGAAAAACTTACCGATGCCTCATAGGGTAGAAGTGTAAAGCAAAATGAGTATTAATCAGAAAATTCAAGTCACATTACCCATTTGAATAAGCTAGGTAAATTAATATGCTAATAAATATGAGAAATAAGGAACCTCGGCCGAAGACATATTAGAATGTGGGATAGGTATATGCGGTGGGAAGCCTTGGCGAATTAGTCCAATATTTGCTATAATTTGTTCCGTAATAGAAGCGAAAGTCGGGAATGTGTGTAAGTTAAGCATTTGCACACTAAGCGTCATAAATTCCTTCACGTCTGCTATTCGAAATGCACATATAAGAGCACGCATAAGAAGCATCGTAATTGGCTGTGTGAAACCTTCCCGACGACATTCCCAAATTAAATGTGATGCAAACTGAAATTAAAAGCGATCGGTAATTTGGAAAATATAGGTAAGAACCATCACAACAAAAACCATCATAATACCTGCAAAGCTTTGGCGAATTGACCTGTTACAAAGTATTCATCTGATAATAAGAGCATCATATAACGTTGCATTCGTAAACATTTGTATTTCTTGAACTGTGACATTGCAGAGGAAAGTAGAGCAATGCATCGGTCGTGATTTGGAGAACATCGTAACTGAAGATAACATTTACTTCTTTCAATTACTAGAATGCATTGTTTTTAACAATTAAGGTCATATGTTATGATTAAAAATCGAAAAATTTAAAATTGAACTTAAATAGGAGAGAGAAGGTAAACTTCAACATTATATAGAAATGACCTCAAGTGCGATAAGGGCATTCTTTTCAGTTTCCGGATCTGACAGACTGCCATTTTTCGTAGTCGCTCTCCATGGCCTCTGACCATAAAAAATATCTGCGGTTGGTACCAAAGGGTCAGGGCTTGGGTAAACTGACCCAACGAACTGCGACGAAGTATTTAAGGTAGTGACAGCATCGTTTGCTTGCCGGTAATAGTAAGCTGCTGCTTGAAGATACATTCCAGGATGTTGAGTTGACACGGCAACTAAACCACCCATTACGGCTTGTTCAAACAAATTTGCAAATAACGAACACTGAAATAAACCTAATGTACAAAACTGAGAGAATGTTTAAAACGAAGTATAAAATCACTTGTTATTATAACTATGAGGAATCAAAAGCCAAAAGCATGGAAACAGACCTGTTTGCCTTTCCATAATAAATGCTCAATTGATGCAATGACTGAAGATGGATACGAACCTGGAGGTAAGCAGAAAAACGCGTTATTATGCCGCCGTTGTTGTGCTAATGCTTCTAAGGCTGCACTGTGAAAAAATGATAACTGACATATCTGGAAATGATATGAAGATCTCTCATTTAGAATGTTCCTTTAAATTTTCGAACAGTTTTTTCATTTCAAAGTCTTTTCATTGCAATCCACCCAAAGAGTTCCCAACTCAATCATTTTCGGCACCACTGAGTATTTCATCAAAAGCTATGAAGAATGTAACCTTGTAATTTAGGAGTCCAGCCACTGCACGTAGTTCAAATATTTCACTGTCGATGATTTCGCACTCGGTACAATGTTGATATGCTAACTTATAATGTCTAAAATAAATTTAAGAGAAAAAATCGTCAGTAACCACAACATCATTGCCTAAAATAACTAAGTAATGATTGGATTGTGATTTTTCAATTTGCGTTTAATGAGACAAGCCCAAATACTGTTTTACTATTCCTTAGAAAGAAATTATCTCATTATTTAATGAGCACTTTTGAATACCTTCAGTAAAAACCATCTAGAGACAAAGCAAATTTCTCAGATCAAGCAAAGCCTGGGATAAATCAACTGTAAGAAGTGAGGAGTCCGATTTATTAGTCTTTTTTAAACGACAGATTTCCAAAACTCAAATTATACGTTCCTCATTCACATCATCCAAACTTTCCGCTACTGATTCCGGATATTTCAAATTTCACAGATGAAAACTAGAAAAAAAAAGTGGCACTTTAAACCAAGCAATGTACTGAGCAATTACTTCAAACAAAAAAAAAGGTTTCCTCCAGGCATCCTACCGAGATATCTCGAATTAATCAGTGAGGTAAAAATCCATGCTATAAAGAGAACAACAGAGAAAACTTGATCGAATAAAATGATTCACTTATATGTTTCTCTTAAAAATCAAAAATATGGGAAGGATGCGAACTATGAATCATAACAGAGAAACAAAACTTTTCAATAAAGATATAATTATTATCGGACTATGAATCTCGAAAAGGATTCATTCGTGGAAAAAATAATGGAAATAAGCAATGGAAAAAATGATGACCTGAGTGCCGTGTGCGTATCTTGCCGTAATTCCGAAAGGAATGCCAGTTTAAACTGTTGACGAATGATAAGATTGGAAGAATTATTTGGTGTCGATCGCGCGCGGACCGATTTCAGACACTGTTGATAGAATGCTTGAGCTAATTCATGGAATGCGGTTTCAAGCCTGCAAAAGCATGATGCTATAAAACTTATGGTTTAATAAGGTTTAATTTCTAATAGTCATAAATTTCTAATAGTCAAAAAATGTTTTTTGCTAAAAAGATGGCCAGGGATACTCGATTTTCATACATCTATACCTAGAACAAATGTAAAATTAAACTGATCCCGCTTAACTCTTCAAAGGAAATAAGATCGAAAATAGATTATGAGAATACGAGTAAATAAATGAAACAAAAACCTTAAAACTGATGAAAACATTCGTTCGCCAATGGGTAAAATAAACAACTGTTTCGTTGGAAGTTGACATAGTTGACAAAGTTTGGTTGTTCTTTCGGTAGCTAATGGACTGTCTATTGGCTGAGTTTGCTGTAGTAACACAATACAAATTCGAGTTGCATGGCTTCCGATGCTTGTCCTAAAGTATATTTTAATTATACCATACTAACTGCCTTTTTTTTGATCACTATATTGAAAGTTACGGTTATCTACCACCACTCCCGAAAAAAGTCATATATATATATCTACGGTGCAAACGGAATAAGGAGAATTTCGAACAGTCCGATTGATGAGAAATTCCAAACTTGGACCACAAACTTTTGAATAATACCTAAGTGATGAAATTTTCGATTCACATTCCGTAGCTTTTTCATTCCAAGACGGATGATCCCAACCCAAATCAGCAAAGAGTACGATAACGGATGGCAATTCATTGGCGTACTTTTTGATCCAATTCACTCTAATAAATCCACGCGAAAAACTCGATATCTGAAATGCTCACAATTCCTGTCCCTCAAAACTTGGAAAACTAGAATCTGCCCCCACCTTCTATTCCTTCTCATCTTTTTATTATTTCGAACTTACCCACAATTCTTGTTTTCCTCTAATCTTATTACTCATTTTACTATAGCATTCTAAATCATACCGTTTGTTTGTGTACTTTTGATTCGTACAACATTTGAGTACCATCTAGCATTGCGTAATTAATTGGTGGACGATCTTGCTCTCGATTTACAGTAAAAGCTGAAAAGATCGCAGCATGCGACCTATTATTGATGATATCCAGTCCTGTCAAGAAGACAAGTTGGTTTTGCCGATTAGCAACCAAAACTTCCGGAATATCATTACTATCCATCTCTATCACTAAAATATACCGACAATTGAATGCATCTTGTAATTGAAGTATATATCATATAACATGGAGACCGGATACTCATTGTAACAGCATCTGATCACAACGAACCTAACCGGCTCTACCTGAACATCCGATATTTCGCAGCGTACATATGACATAAAGCACAGTCACTGCCAAGGTCCCCAAATTCCGAAAACTAAAAAAAAGCTCTAAGTCCAACTAAAGCTAAAAAGGATGTGCAAGTCCATCTACGAAAGAACTATAAATGGAATACTGCGGAAGAGTAGGTACGCATAATTATTTTCCATGAATGCGCGCAACAAAAATAATACTTGAATTTTATTCCAAGAAAAACTTGATGTTACAACAGATTAAAGAAATGTAACAGAATAAGAAGAAAAGCCAAACATGACCAAGTGTTACAAAAGAATAAGGAGAAAGAACGATCACGATTACTTCTTCCTTTTTTCTGCTGCTCATCAATTCAGCTGAAATAGATTTCCCCTATTTGCACATAGAATTAGATTTGAAAAATATATTCACTCTCATAGGAAATGAAATTAGTTAGTAAATATGGAATGTCCTTTTCCGATTCTTACCTTTCTGAATCCAATATCGGAAGCATACTCTCTGAAACATCGTCGACACATATTAAGTCCGTATTTCCTGATTAACCCATGATGATTCGAACAAACTCGGCTAAAAACATGATTATCTGATCCAAGATGCTACAAACATATTTGCGAGTGACGCCTTAGGCCTTCGACTAGGAAACGATAACTTCCAATACGAAAAGATCCAAAACAACTCAGAACACGGTAATGAGATTAAATTGGAACTGACCATGAGCGAGAACCTGGACCATACTTGCGCGGATGCGAAAACCATAAATTTTGATGACCCATCTTGATTCTTGATGCCGGTTGTTATTGAATGCAGTTTCTGGTGCCAAAAATAAATCTCTGAAATTATGGGAAGAAATTTCCCGTAAAAGAAACATGACACTGAAGCGAAGAAACGCAAATCTTTCTAGTCTCTCTCTCTCTCCCTCTTCCCTTCTCTAAAAATACAAGTTCTGGACAGTAAAAGCGCCTAAATATGCCGTATGACCATGTCAAAATATTCTTCAACTATCAGATCGCTCTGATTATAGATTTTTACGCCATGGCAATTCAACGTATATTAAGGCCACTGACACAACCACAGTTATAAACAAACATTTCCGACAATGTTACATCACAGGCCGACGTCATCAACAAGACACACCATGAAATGCAGCAAACTTACGCCTATCACTGTTCAATAATATATGACTAAACACCGAAAAATACTAAAACTTTCAGTGGTAAAAGTTTAGACATAACGTGGTTGGCCCTTATTACGATGCACTCATAGGCCATCAGTGAAAGACGTATGCTACCAGTAATTGCACAAGAACTCCATATGTCTTAGCAACGTTAAGAAGTTATCACTGCCAGCCCAAATGCCCTAATGATGTTTAAGGTAGTGTGAGAAAAGCACAAGATCAACTGAACAGAAGGTTTTCATAATTAGATCTCTCAATACAAAGGCTGTTTCCCAGAGAGATTTAGGAAAATTATGAGATGATATGGAACACTTGAAAAAGCAGAGTTCCCCAGATTAAGCGGCAGTCCCGAAAAGCAAACTCCACGACAAACCCATACTGATCCTAAACCATACCGTCCCCTACCCTGCCTACCTCATCCCGCCAACCTGTCATCGCTTAGTTTTGAATTCACGGCCACGATAAGCGAAAATTTACAGTAGCGCTATGCAATTCAAGTCTCCGACCCATCAGTGAGTTGAGGAATGTTGTACGGGACTCATCTTCCAGAGATTTTTTCTTTTGGGAAATTTTTTCTAGTTATTTGGTGTCTTATTTCAACGGCAGATATTTTTTATATATGTAAATTTATTACATCGTTCCCCTTCCACGTTGTTCGCATGCGAGAAGATTGTGCCATCGCTTTTATCGTTACCTGGATCACATATCCGAAGCAAGCTAAAGCTCCAGCATATTGACAAAGTGGTGGCGACCCATACAATTATAATATAAGATGTAAAAATGAATAATAAAGTAAAGTATTGCGCAACAAGCAACATCATATCACTCTATTATTTCCGCTAGTGAAAACTTCTAGAAATCCAATCGGCAAAAAATGTTTTTTTAGTTGATCAATGCGCAAATTTATGCAACACTTTCGATCAACTGTTCTTCATCAGTACTTTTCCTCAAGTTTCCGAAATCCTTCAACTTTATCGTGTGAAGTGCCAAAGCTTGGAGCGTTTGTGAATTAGCAGATGTTATCTGAAAAGGGCTTATATTTGTGAGTTAGCAGAAGAACATATGATTAAATTATTGGGGCAACTTAATTTGAATTTACTTACCTTAACAGCAACATAATCGCCAGGTTTTAGCTCCACCAATTCCGAACCATCATTGTAATATTTATGAATAATTACATTAACTCCGCCATCAATTCGACCTCGCAGATGCTCGGAAGAACGCTTACTTGTCTAGAAATGTTCAAAATTTCGGTACGATATTGATAATCATTTTTATAAAAAATTTCCAAAAAGAGTAAAATAAAAAGTTGGGTAAAAAATCAAGTTATGAAGTGAAAAAACAATCATTCATTATTATTGGAAAGCATTTGGTAAAAATCCAAAATCTCCCCCAAGATCACTTAACAGGAAATAGAATCAAACATGTTTATAAACCGGAAAAAACGAAAGCGGTACCAGTAATTGTAGCAGCAATGCATACACTAATATTTCATTGCTTTATGAATAAATTTCTGAAGCTTTAATAATCCGAGCCATGAGACATATTAAAGCAATATTATAAATGAATAAAGCCTATACTGCCACAAACGATATGCGGGGAATTATAAATGAATAAAACTGAAATCAACCTATTCCACTGAAACCAACACTGTAAACTAACATAGATTAGACATACTTCTTCTAAAAGCACCAACTGCTCGGTCCCAACGAGAGCCTCGTTATGCTTTAATGCTGTTTCTCTGAAAACATTTGCCAGTTCTTGATGGCGCCTATTCTTAACTTCCTTCGATACATTATCCTTCAGATGTCGATATGCTTTGGTTTTCTGCAATGTTATTATCAGTTATCTGCTTTTATCCTATGTTTATTCTATACTGGATGAGGAACAATTCGCAAAAAAACATATTGAATCTAACTTTGAGAAGATCGCTTACCTCCCTTTGACTATATGGAAAAACGTAACAAAAAGAATAAACGACATGTCTGATCAAGTCCAGAGATTCCCGATGGGATTCCTCGGTCTCACCACAGAACCCAGCAATGAAATCACTCGTGAGCGATACGTCTAAATACTACAATTAAATGATGTGTGGTAGATTTCGAACTGGCTTTAAAAATAGGATATTTTAATTCCCGATCGAATGCCATTACTTGGTAAGACAGCTTTAATGCGATCGACCAATTCCAAATAACTTTCTCTACTGTAGCCACGATCCATCGCATCTAATACAGCATTGCTGCCACTTTGTGCTGGCAAATGAATTTGTTTGCATATGTTTGAGCGTTCTTTTATCAACTGTATCACCTATCAAATCCCAAATTAAAAGCAGAAATAAATATAAGATTTAGAAGTATTGGAACTTCAAACATACAGAGACTCAGGGCTTATCCTATTTTCCACTAAGATACCAAACTTATGAACAATTAGTAATTTCTTACATCCATAAATAAAAACATTATGAAGGAAGATACCTCAAGAGGAAAATCTTTAGGATGTGGTGAAGTAAAACGTATCCTCATTTCCGGGTCAATTTGCGATACTTTATCCAGCAGTGTTAGGAAAGTACGTCCACCTTTCTTCGGTTTATATTTGGTGCGAAATCCGGGAGCAGTACCAGGTTCTGTTAAACAGGCAGAAGGAAATGATATTTCTGATAAATCTCGATAGCTATTGACGTTCTGCCCAAGCAACGTCACCTGCTTTACACCCTAAAAAATTAAAATGGTGTTACACTGCACTAGTTTTGATATGGTTAAGTGAACAAAATCACGAGATCTAAGAAACTGGAATAACTCGAACGGTTCGAGCAAATAAAAGTTTACCTCATCAGACAAACTCCTGATTTCATCAAGTATAGAATTTATCGGACGACTCCTCTCTCTTCCCCTCGTATATGGAACAACACAGTAAGTACACATATTATCACAACCACGCATAATTGATCTATAATAAAGGAACTAAAAAAGAGAGGGAGCATAAAAGTAAGTAATAAGTGATTTACTTCCGTATTATTTGAAAAGCATTGAAATTACTATCACACTGAGTCCAGTAACTCTATATCTTACATCTCTTATACAGCTGTATTGTGACAAATTAGAAACAAAATATATAAAATTTAACAGAACAAACACGAAAGCTGTTTTGGAAAACTTGTCCTTTCGAACTGGGACAATATCAGCGTAAGTTTCTTCTAATGATAGCTGCACATTTATTGCCATACTTCCGCAGCGTGCAATTGCTAATAGCCGTGGCAAGTCGCGATATGAATCGGGTCCAGCTACCACATCAACATTTTCAGTGTATGTCAATAAATTATGCCTTACACGTTCTGCCATGCAACCTTCAAAGTGAAAAGTATGAGCTATTATTGCCCTATTTCATTTATACAGATATCAACAGTTATAATTCAACGACATACCTATTGGATGTTTGTAGCGGTAGAAAAACTGTAATGTTTAAAAAAGATGTCATCTGAGATAGAAATCAAGATAAATGCTATCGGCATCGTTCTCAATTCCTGTCTTCGACAATAACGATTTCCAGTCATGAATATTATGGATTACTAGAGTGATATATTAATATAGTAAAATCATTTCGAAAGCATTATAAATTATAAAAAACGAATATCTATATCATATCTCTTGGGGCACTTTAAGTGCAACATTTAGAAACGATATATCTGAGACGAATAGAGGTTATTACAGTAATATCTAGAAAATAACCAGAACTACTTGATATCAGCACTTCATACTTTGTAATAATAGTGAATAACAGCAGTTAAATGGTTTCTTGCAATGGATATAATATTAACAAGTCTATAAATAAAGTAGTTAAGTTACATATAAGAAAATGTTTACTATTTGCAATATAAAAGTACCTAAAACTCCAACAACCCCCTTTTTGCGGCGTATTTTTCTGAGCACTTTTAGTTCATCCCACACCTTATTTTCAGCACCTTCACGTATCGAACATGTCATCAATAATACGATATCAGCCTAAATAGGAATAACGTACATCAATAACCTAAATATTATAAGTAACATCACATGCGAAATAAGCAGTGAAAGTTACATCCACCTCTTTAACGTCGTCTGTTTCCATATAGCCTGATGATAGCAGCAATGAGCGTACCAATTCCACATCATTCACATTCATCTGACAACCATATGTTATGAATTTTACTGAAACACATAAATATTCATGCTACAAACAAGCAAAGATATTCTTATATTATAAAATATAATAAATTTGAGCATACCTTTCAAACCATCGCCATAGGAAGCTGTTGTACTCAATGACCCATACATCTCTTCTACTTTCGGCATCACTTTGCTCAAACGTTCACTGTTTGCCTTACTGACGAAGTAATCCAAACCCGGACCATCTACAAATAATAATTTTTGATACAACTACCAAATTTCATGACACCTAACAATTTTTGAAATAATTCTACAAAACTTACCGATATTGAATTTCAAAGACCTTTTCCGCGTAAGTGATACAGACGATTTAATTTGCGAATGCGCAACTAGCGAAGAATGCAGCTGCCGCAAATCAATACTTTTCATATGTGACTTGCAAATAATATATCGGCTCCTTGCAGAGAACATTGCTCTGTAACCCTAAGACAGCAGTTCAGATTAGCTGCCTGTCATTTAATTTAAACGAAAGCTCGTTATATTTATAAAGACTAGTTAATAAGCATATCGACCCGAAACAGTGATAGTGTTATGATCTTAAGCAACTACTGAGATTTTACAAGTATGGTTTCGAATACGTTTTGTTGCATGTAGAGCTGACCAGTGGTCATACAGAATTGTATTTTGAAAAATTTTATTAGACTTTCTCATAAGGAAACAATATGATTATGAAACATGATTATGCTACTGATTACGAAACATTTTTTGTTTCCATTCTTCTCCTTGCTATTTCAGCATCCTGAAAATACGATAATACAAAGAAGATAATTATGAATAGGAGGGAGATTCCTGATAAGATAATATGAATGGAGAGATTTAATTCAAGAACGGTAACACGAACGGTGTATGAAAAAATGAAATATAACGGATCACCGTAGTTTTCGCAACTAATTAGAAAACTGAAATTATCTAATTGAAACTCTGTACCGTCCCAAATTCGTAGTATTCCGGAACTAGCTGATGCAACCATTCTGATTCAATTACGCTGATATCACGTATCGAATCTTGTAGCACCTCCGTGAATATTATCCTAAATTTGAGCTCGAATAAAGTCTCATATATCGGGAACTATAGCTGATTTATATTGTTTACAAAAGTTGTCTGACAACATCTTGCAAACCATTTTGGAAATTCCTTTTTGTACATAATCGCTGATCCTTTATAAACTTTGAAATGGTATTCGTTCCTAACAGTAACATAGTCGCCAGAATAATGATAGTAAGCGGCTTGTGAGAAAAATCCTTTTACCAGACAGCGAAGTATTGAGTTCACCTCTCCTGAAATAATCATCCACTTCAGGAAATAACCACTCCTCTGTCTATATGTGAAAAAGATGTTCGATTTTCAGGAGTAAACAGAATGCTGAAGATATGAAACAGAAATATGACAAATACCATTTTCTTTGCATGATCTGATTGGTACATTATGACGTCTCAAAAGACCCAGCAGTTGGTCACGAATTGCTTCCGCACGACGCAAGCCACGATAATTCAGAAAATGATTGATGCACCACTGCTTTGATTTACCATTCTTAAAATAGAAAAAATTAATGTAAATCTGACTTTTCACTCTTATCCTGAAAAGCATTACGAAATAAATCTTGTAAGACAGACGCAACATCAGCATCTATCAAGATTTACAAAGCACTCGAAAATTTACTCCTAAGATAATGCAGCTACGAAATACACCTGTATGAAATTCGTGAAAACGTTCAAAAGAGTGAGATGATCGCCCTCTTCAACCGAGAAATTCCTTTTCATTAATTCCTAAACAAGACAAAAGTAAGCCAACTTTATTGAAGTCTTCAATGAAACATGTGACAAAATTGAAGAGATTTACAGCTCTATGGCGAGATCTCGATGGTATTACAAAAACATCTTGTATTTGGAGCATCGCTATAATCGTTGCAATCTCTTCACTGCAACCAAGTTCACCTAAAAATGTAATATTAAACATTTAACTTACAGTTTATCACAACTGCACTTGACATTCTTCTATGACAATTTTACTTCACACTGAAACTGACGTTGCATAAGAATGTACCTCACCTTGCGGTATCAAAAGCATTTGCAATAACAAGAATAGAATCTTTTGTATCAGCAATTCATCTTTCCGCTACCAAAAGGCGGCAGGTA